TCATACCAGTTTACATTTCCACCAACAATGTATTAGTTTCTGTTTTCTCCACATCCTCTCCAGTGCTGATCATGTGAGTCTTTTTTACATATGCAGTATTCACTGATATGAAATATTTCATTGTTGCTTTGACTTCAGTCTCCCTTATTAAAAATATTGAAAGTTTTTCCATGTATCTATTGGCCTTTCTCATTATTCTGTTAGGAGAATTGTCAGATCTGCTCCCATTTATTAATATGTTTTTGTTGTCAGATTGAATTTTTTTTTTTGTATATCTTGGATTTTAAACCTGTTTTGGTTATATAATGTGTGAGTATTTTCTTACATTCAACAGCATGTATTTTTATTTATTAATCTACTTGTATTTTTATTCTCAATGTATAAGCGTTTTAATTTCAGGTAGACCCAATTAGTTTTGTTTTATTTCCATTGCTATAGGGGTCTAGTCTCCAAAATCATCTTTATCATTTATGTCATTTAATGTATCACTGATGTTTTCTTCTTTTTTTTATTGTTGTGGGTCTTAAGTCTAAGTCTTTAATCCATTTTGCGTCTACTTTTGTTTATGGAGTTAGGGGATATTCCAACATCATTCTTTTGCATTGGCCATCTAGTATTCCTAGTACCATTTGTTAAAGAGACTCTCCTTTCTCTACTGTATGGTCAGAGATTTTTTATTATAAATTAGGTATTGATATATGAATTTGTTTCTGGGCTTTCAATTCTGTTCCATTAATCCAAGTGCCTGTTTTTATCCAAATACCATATTGTTTTAATTACTCTTGATTTGCAGTATAGCTTAAAATCCGATAACATGAGACCTTTTCCCCTCTTTTTTCTCAGGATTGTTTTCATTCCTCAGGGCCGTTTATGGGACCATATAAATTTTATTTTTTATCTATTTTCTTGAAGAATATAGTTGGGATTTTAATGGGGGTTGCATTAAATCTGTATGTTGCTTTGGTAGAATAATCGTTTTGACTATATTTGATTCTCTTCATGCATGAATATGGAATACATTTCTATCTCTTTATGTGTTATTCTGTATCTTTTTACAGTGAAGATTTTAGGGTTTTCTGTTTATAGTATATCGTGTAAATACTGTCAGTTTCACTTTTTTTTCAATCTGGATTCCTTTTATATCTTATTGTTACTTGATTGCTCTAGATAAAATCTCTAATACTAAATAGAAAGGGTAACAGTGATCACCCTTTCCTTGTTTTTGATCTTTTTTTAAAGATTTATTTTTATTTATTTATGCATATGAAAACTGGGGTGTGGGCCAGAGGTTCAGGGGGTGAGAAGATTCACCAGCGACAGTGGGGAACAGGTGGATTTACTGAAATATATTGCTGAGGGGAGCAGCAGGCAAAATAAAAGAGGTCTGCTGCACCATGTGGGTTAGCTCCTTGGCTGGGAATCACACTCATGTGACAGTAGCTGGTGATATCTCGATAGTGCTGAGACTTTAACCCCTGTGCCACCAGGGAGGCCCTCCTTGTTCTTGATCTTAATGGAAGAGCTTTGGGTTTCTCACCATTAAGTATTATATATACATACATACAACACAATTTTATATGTATATATATATAAAATGATATACTCTTTTGATATTTTAAATTTTTTTTTAAAGAGGCATGTATTTTTATTTATTTGTTTGTTTTTTGTTTATTTGTTTGTTTATACATGCACTGGGTACAGTCAGAAGTGCGGGAGGGTGAGAGAATTCACCAGAGCCAGAGCGGGAAGCAGAGCAGGCAGAAGGACCGAAGTACACTGCTGAGGGGAGCAGCGGGCGGCAGGAGAGGTCTGTGTGCCATGGGGGACCCTCCTCTGGTGGCCAGGGAGAAGCCGGGGATCGAACCAGTGCTGCAGAGGCTGCGGGCAGCTTCGCAACCCAGCGTTCAACCGCTGTGCCACCGGGGAGGCCCCATTTTTGATATTTAATCCTGTGTGGCTTTTTGCAGTAACTTTAATATACACATGCTGTTTTGAAATCTACCTTTTTCTCTTACCAGTATGAATAGAACGTATGTTCATAAATCGATGGGCCTGCCCATATTCCTCTAACTGAATGTTAGTTCCTGGAGCCAACTTAGCCTACCACTAGGTATGCATCCAGAGTTGGATGGACTCCTTTGTTGCATAATTGAATTAGGAAAGGTATGAGTATGAGGAGTTCCTCATACCTTTACGTATGAGAAATTGAGGAATTGAGTTTATTAGGGTCTAGAGAAGAGGTCATGGATTGCTATTTAAATTGGCTCAGGTGGGCCTCCTCGGTGGCGCAGCAGTTGAGAGCTGGGTTGCGAAGCTGCCCATAGCCTCTGCGGCGCCGGTTTGATCCCCGGCTGCTCCCCGGCCACCAGAGGAGGGTCCCACATGGCGCGCAGACCTCTCCTGCCGCCCATGTGTAAACAAACAAACAAATAAATAAATAATACATGCCTCTTTAAAAAATAAATAAATAAATAAATAAATTGGCTCAGGTAAACTCTGCAAATGATAAAATGAGCTACTTCCTGATGCACAATATTGTCAATGAAACTTCAAACTCTCCTCTCCCATCTACCTGCTGCTTTTCTTAGCCTCTTCAAATTTAGGTCCAAACCCTTTCCCCTGTCTCAAACATGGTCAGGGGTTGCAAATAACCATTACCTGCAAATAATCAACATGCTTAGGGTCCTCTGTCATAGTGCAGCAGTATGCCTCACCAGGCTTCTGGCCAACCCTCCCAAGTAGTTACTATTTCCCAAATATATTTTGGCCAGATTTTACACACACACACACACACATACACACACAGTAAAATTATGTATCTAATTTTAAATCAGTTAAAAGAAAAATACATGAAATCTGCGCCTCCCTGGTGGCGCAAGGGGTTAAAACGCAACCTATGAAGCTATCAGCAGCCTTTGGGGCCTCAGTTTGATCCCCAGCCAGAGAGAAGACCCACATGGCACAGCAGACCTCTCCTGACTTGCCTGCTGCTCCCCTTAGCAGTGTTTTTCCGTCAGTCTTCTTTTTTTCTGTTCCCCACTCTGTCTCTGGCGAATCCTCTTTCACCCCCCACACCTCTGGCCTGTACCCCAGTTCTTGTATGCATAAATAAATTAATCTTTTAAAAAAGAAAAATATGTGAAATCATGGACACATGATCACTCTAAGTATAGAGAATTAAGCTTAAGTGGAAAGATTGTAGGAATTTAAATTACAGAGCAAATTAAAATAAATCTTAATGCTGAATTAAATTTACTACGCAATATTATTTCATCTTTGAATTTCTATATTGGACTTCTAGCCTTCGTTTTGTTAAAATTTGATACCCCCAAACTCATGGGAAAACATAGATTTTGGTAGCACTGAAATAATATTTATGCTTAGGCAGAATTTCTTGGTAAATACCCCTGCTGCTCTTTTGTGTTTTCTTTCTTTAGATGCAAACATTGGTTCTCCACTTATTAATTGCTTAACCTTCAACAATTAATCTTTCTGTACCTTAGTTTTCCTGCATATAAAATGATGATCACTCCCTTGAGGGTGGTTTTGAGAGCTAAATGACTGTATGTGTAAAGTGCTTAGATGGCTAGTTTCTTGTCTTTAATGATGATGGAACTTTCATCCACTTTTGCTTATTGGAGTCTTAGGAACCTTACCGCAAGGAACAGCTCAACCACAAGAAGTGCCCTTTTTCTATCTTTTTATCTCACTGTTTAAATTATCTGAGTGCCTGTGTGTGTAGCTATATTACTTTTCTCAACTGCATCATAAACTCCTGCTTATTCCTTCATAGGGCCTACCTGATGATTCTGGTATCTGCATCCTTACTTGCTCTTGATCAAGATCTTGAAACTAATTAGCCAACCAGGACTTTGGGGTTATTTTTCATAATGTCATTTAAACAATAACATGACTTCAATCAAAGAAGTTATCTACTCAGATGGATTGAGAAGGATCAAATTGTAGAGTCCAAAGAGTCCCAATTTTGAGACACAGAGTTTATACTGGGAGTACTAGCCTGAACCCAAGTCTGATTGGTGTGCTTACAACTAGGGACCTAAAAATGAAGACTGAGGAGTCTTTGCTCATGTCACAGAACCTCCTCCCTACACCCGCCTCCCATGAATTTGCCTCATAACATGTCTGAGATATTTTGATTGAAAAACTTGCGTTTTCATTTGCCCAGTGACAGATAGCACACTCTAACCAGAGTTATAGTGGAGTTGTTTTTTAACCTCTGTCAAAGAAATTTCAGAATCCAAATATATGACAACAATATTAAGACAACTCATATTTTATAAAATTTAACAATTATCTTCTCTAAAAACCTTTACAAAATACATATCTAAAACAAGTCCTGGGCTGCCCTGGTGGCACAGTGGGATGAGCGCCACACTGTGAAAATGTCCTCAGCCTCTGTGTCACGGGTTCGATTCCCGGCCAGCCAGGGAGAAACCCGCATGGTGTGGCAGACCTCTCCTGTCTTGCCCGCTGCTCCCCTCAGCAGTGTCTTTGGTCGGTCTGCTTGTTCTGCTCTCTGCTCTGTCTCTGGTGAATTCTCTCACCCTCCCGCACCTCTGACCTGTACTCCTGTTCTTGTATAAATAAATAAATCTTTTAAAAAAATAAATAAAACTAGTCGTTAGGGCAGTGGTTCCAAAAGTGTTAATTCTGAACCAGTAGCATTCCCCTAAAACTTGTTAGGAGTACAAATTCTGAAGTCCTACCTCAGATCTACTGTATAAGAAAAACACCCCAGATATTCCACTGTCTTAGGGAACTATATTCTAGGGGAGGTTGTACTCTATATGCCAAAAAATATTTTTTTGTTCATTAACAGATAAAGAAAAGTTGGACATGTTTTAGGTTAAATATTTAATTTAATGTTATTCAAAAGTATTGTAAAGAAAACCTCTTTTTAATACATTTCATTGCCGTTACAAGCTCAGTTTTGCTAACTGATTTTCTCTCTCTTTCCTCTTTGTATCTGAACTTGGTAGACGAGTTGGATTTTATGTCAATACTTTCAAAAATGTCTCTAGCCTTGAGGCCAAATTTCATAAGGAAATTGCAGTGGTGAGTAATAATTATTATTTTGACTTATGGATCGTAAAGTAAATAAACATTTATTTTGGAAGCAAATGAAATGGCATAGCCATTATGCAAAGAATTCACTTTCTTACAAAGTTGTTTATAGTGACCCCATAGTTCTCTGTATTTTCTAAACATTTTAATTTGTGTCTGTTTTGTTTGTCTTTTTTTTTTTTTCTCTTTTTCTCATTGTCACAATCTCAGCGTCTTTTGAGGGGGTCATATTTTAAAGTTAGAGTTTCATACTTTAAGCTGAGAAAAAAAAATCATTCTTCAAGTGTTCAACAGTATCATTGTCCAGTAACATTTTCTTGCTTCACTAGGGTGGTTGTATAACTTTATTATATCCTGGGAGTCCATGTAAGCAATGATGAGTTTTGTTTTCTGCATTGAACTCTGGTTAATAAAAATCATTTTTTATAGTTTGTGTTTATGACCTTTCATTTTTGATGTGAATTTCAAATTGGACCATATATAGAATTTAATTACCCTGAGACCATCTATACTCTTGAAAGATTTTTATTTTTCTAATAAACAACTCCTTTCTTTGTGCCTGAATTGGCACAAGAAGACTTGTAGCTAATAGATAAATGACCTCTGTTCCCTTAGCTTTGCCACAAGCTGTTTGAAGTGATGACAAAACTGGGTGACCAGCATGCTGACAAGGCCTTCACCATTCAAGGAGCTCCCAGGTAGGCCACGCCCATCAGAACCAAGCCAATGTCTGTGTAGCTTTAATGCAATGCTTGTTGAAATGTCTGCAGTCTATACCAGCCTATATTATTTTGCTAATACTGTAAGAATCTGGAAGGAGCCTTTCCACCCCGAGGCGAATACCAGACTCATTTCTGTACTTAAAACATTTACCTTTAGTCTTCAGATATATACACCAGGGGTATTTCACTGTAGAATTGATGGTCATCCTCTCTGTGTTTCCCGTGAGAGCTAACAGCAATGATATAAAGTTAAAATTTATAATTTCTAGTCATATACATGTTACTTTCTTTGGAAAAGAAAAGAATTCCCATGGTCCAAAGCAGTTAGTCCAGATACTCCTGATCATTGGTGCTGACATCTTTAAGGAGCTACTTGGGGAAAGGAAAGAGAAAGTAGGTGAGACCTTCCCACTCTCTTTTCTCTTAACTTGACCTTGCAAACACTGCATAGTTTTGCTTTAATTTCACATTGTTATTTTGAGCATACCAATAAAATATGTCAAGCCCCAGTGATCTGCAGGAAAATAGTGTATATTAGCTTCCTACCAGCTTTCTCCTGTGACTTCGCAATCTCTTTTAATCCATCCTTCTCAGGTGTATGTACTCAAGAAATACAGGCTGTTGATACTTTGGCTAGAAGTCTGAAGACACAGCTTTCAGTTTTATGACTATAATTAACTTGCTTTTCATTGTTTAAATACAATAACCTCTGTGGTTGAAGATCTCATTTTCTTAAATCAATAGGAAAAAAAAAAAACGGTGATATTGAACTAACTGACTTCTATGGCAAGGTGCAGGCCTGACAATTCTCTGATTGTGATTTTAACATCAATCAGTGCATACACTCATGTGCACACATTTATAAAACATACTTACACACATACAGCACCATCTGCATGCATTAGTGTTTGGATCCCTCTGGAGATAGCTAATTTTCTTACTTGTTGGTTTTTGGATTGGGTGTTCCTGTAGCCTCTGCTATGACTGCCAGACTATGTGAGCATTTAATATATATTCTGTGTCCTAAAAGAGACCTAAAGGAAAACATGAAAGGTGTGGAGATATGGTTTCCAATACAGTCATATCAATATGGGACTAGGAAGAAAGAATGAATTATAACAAGAATGTCAAAAAGACATTTGGGTATTTTAGAAAGTAAGTGCATGAAAACATTCAGACTTGCTTCCTTATAGAGAGATGGAAGGGATATAAATACACCTGAAAATTCAGTGTTTCAGAATCAGATTAAATAGAAAGAAAGTGGAGCCATGGTGACTTAACCAATGTTCCTTTCATTTTTCTCAGTGATCCTCTTCAGAATGAGGTAGTGAGTGAGTCCAGTGGATTCTCTGTTGAGCATAGATTGAGACTGTGCTACTTGACAAAGGCCATGATTTGATGGCACATTCTCTCTTAAGGTCCCATTTTATCCACTCTTGAATATGTAGACCATGCTTTTGTGCATGTGTTCATTTCTTTTGGGGTGCAGACCCTTAATCTGTAGACTAGAAATTCTTAGCAAGCAGGCTGTGTCTTGAGTCCCCTCTCAGTCATTGCACTTGAGCTGTTCACAAACATCTGGTCTGGAGCCAGGAACATGGGTTCTCAGTAAATACTGAATCTTGTCTATCACATAATTTACACATTTCAAGGTGTCTAAATTGAGTCATTGTTATATAAGATATAGAAAGAGAAACAATGAGCTGATTTCTAGACCTGATCAGAAAGCCCTCCTACAGAATCTTAACACTCTCTAGCGACACCTCTTAATATCAAATTTATAATTTTCAGTGTAGGTTTTTCTACAGATTATGACTTATATTTGAAAGTTCTTGTAATTCTCTTTGGTACAGTAAAAAGAGCAGTTTTGCATTAATAGGCCCTAATGCAGAGTTACTAACATCTCTGTACCCCACTTATCTGTTTAATGAGAAAAATAATGCATGGGTATTGCATTGATTGGAGATAATAGATGAATATGGCCTGGCACCCAGTGGGCAATATATGATACCAATTACCACAAAACTGTTAATAGTGATCAGAATTAAGCAGAAGTGGGAATAGATCACAAGAAGTACCTGTGATGCTCAGGAATTCTCTGGTGTTCCTTAGAAGGATGCTTGCTTGCTGTCTGTTCCTCTAGTGATTCAGGTCCCCTCCGCATGGCAAAGACACCATCACCACCCGAGGAAGCGTCGCCCATCCCAAGCCCGACAGCTAGTCCCAACCATACGCTGGCACCTGCATCCCCCGCACCAGTGCGGCCTAGGTCACCCTCACAGGTAGGAAGAAATCGAATACATTGGGGAGGACCAGAAGAACTTGTGGTGAGATGACTCCATCTGGGGTAATCCTCTGCTGCTGGAGTTTCCAGATGGGAGACTTTCTGATGTGAGTCTTCAGGTATTGTGTTGGTCGCTAAGGAATCAACTTGTTTTTCTTATTTGGATGTTTGTATTCATACCCATACTCTATGCTTGAGTGTGTCCAGACTTTACCACAATCTCAGCTCCCTCAGGTGATCATGTTCTCCTCTTGAAGATCCTACAATCTTCAAGAAACCTCCAGTGTCTAGCATGTTAGATTACACTGCACAAGTAGGACCAAGAAAATATGTTAGGTTTGTGTCATTTTAGATTCTTTAATATTACACATAGTGTATTGCATGAGGCACAATTCAGCGAAAGTGTATGGAACAAATAATTGAAAAAAAGGGTAAAGGAAGTAGGTGAAATTGGGCTGAAAGTTGGTGAAATTCCTATAGGAAAACTTGCAGTCTCCAGTCCAGTGTATGTGTCCATGTATATGGATTGAAGCTAAGGAAAGTAGAAAGAAGGTAGTTGCAAGAGATCAGCAAAATACCTGAGTGGAAAGTGAAATGTATGATAACTGATTTCAGCATAAAGCTGCTTGATTTTAATTTTAAAACTTGAATTTATTGCTGAAGTGAGAAATCATTTTCAGTTTACTTCAGAGAAAGTATCACCTTAGCTTAACGACTTCAAAGGGTAGGCACCTGGCTGGAGGCCCTGTGTTAAGGTGCATGAAGTCTCCTACTCTTCAGTTTTTCTCACTTGACCCTTGCACCTCAACACTCAGAGAATTCCTGGAAGACATTCTTTTTTTTTTTAAGATTTATTTATTTATTTATTTATTTATTTATTTATACAAGCACTGGGTACAGTCAGAAGCGGGGGAGGGTGAGAGAATTCACCAGAGCCAGAGCAGGGAACAGAACAGGCAGACTGACAAAATACACTGCTGAGGAGTGTACTTCGGTCCTTCTGCCTGATCTGCTCCCTGCTCTGGCTCTGGTGAATTCTCTCACCCTCCCTCGCTTCTGACTGTACCCAGTGCTTGTATTAATAAATAAATCTTTTAAAAAAAAAACAAAACTTTAAAAAAAAAATACACTGCTGAGGGGAGCAGCAGGTGGCAGGAGACGTGTGCGCACCATGTGGGACCCTCACCTGTAGCCAGGGATCGAACTGGTGCTGCAGAGGCTGCAGGCCACTTCACCGCCCAGCGTTCAACCGCTGCGCCACCAGGGGAGGCCCCTGGAAGAGATCTTTACCTCAAGAACATAGGGCAGGTTCTCGAATGTTTTCTTCAACTTTGTCTCATTACTACACAGATGAGGAAAAAGCTGATGCTGAAAAATTTGTCATGAGTCATTTCCCTTAAATTTCCAGTGTCCAAAACCTAGTGTAGTGCCAGCAAGGCATAGAGTAGGCTCTCTATGATCCAAGCAGATGGGTAAAGGAGAGTCCTGGAGCCCTTGGTGGCTTTTCAAGCTTTTACTGAGCTTTTACATGTAGTGCAGCACCCAGGTACACCTGGCAGGGGGCCGGGGGGCCAGGAGGCAGGCAGGCCTTCTGGCCCCTGGTGAGTCTTCACTCTTTCTGGGCTCTCTGGCATTATCTTCTCTCATTCTTTACTCTTTCTCTTCTTGTCATTCTCGCTCTGCTCTCTTGTTCTGTTGCTCTTTTCTGCTGGTTCCATCTTTGTGACACTACCCTTATAAGCCCTGTCTCTGCCCAGCTGTGCCCACCTATGCATGTCCACACCCTCCTCCAGGTGCCCTTCATCAGGCATGCATGTAGGACCGCAGGGATCCATCATCAATGCCAGTGGTGGGAGGGCAGAAAAGCCTGATAATCACTTACCCTACACCTATTGACAACATTAAGTGAAGATTTACTAAATTTCCATATGGAGATTGAATTTCAGTTGTGATCATTCTGTCCACCTAGCTCTGTTCATGTGACGCTTCTGCATATCTCATGCGTTGTGTTTCACTGAATTAAATACTGTTTGTGTTAAATGCTTCACAGACAAGGAAAGGGCCACCTGTTCCGCCTCTGCCTAAGGTCACCCCAACAAAGGAACTAAAGCAGGAGAACATCATCAATTTCTTTGAGGACAACTTTGTTCCAGAAATCAGTGTGACGACACCTTCTCAGGTGAGTGACTGGTACAGAGGTGGCGCATCATCCAGGTGTTGTGGCATAGGGAGTCTCAGGGGTAAGTTCTAATGAAAGTGAAAGATTTTAAAGCCAACACTATAATTGCATTTGTCTCTCAGGTTTGGATTAATTGGTTGCTATTATATATAAAGCATTCTCAAGTGGGAGATGTCCAGTATTTGAAAATGTTTGCATTTATTATTGAGTAGTGCATACTTACGGAACATTGAAGAGTTCAAATGGAGGATTTTAATTATCACTTAAATCTTAGCACTCGACATAGCCACTAATGAACTTTGCATTTTTTTTCTTATAGTGTTTTTTAAAGTGTTTGTAGTGGGGCATCCAGGCACAGGGTGGGCAGGCAGGGGCTCCCTGAAAATCTCTACAGTTTCTCTGGCCTATTTCTGGTATTCTCTCTTTGAGTATGTCGTGGTCTTGCCTCTTCTGTAGTTAGACTACTTATCCTCTTTTATCTGCTGCTGCTGCTACTGCTGCTTTTATCCCTGCCTCTAAGCTCAGGTGTGCACTCTCACATGTGCACACACACCCATGCTCCAGGTGTCCACAATCAGGCACGCTTAACCTGTACCCACGCTCCTAAGCACCTTCTGCATCAAAATGATCAAGGCTGCAGGTGATTGCCACAGAGGCTAGTGTAGTAAAGAACCTGATTAATTCATTTACCCTACAGTGTTGTATATCAATTTTGCATCACAGAGATCTACTCCTACCTTCTCTACTTAATTTTATTGAGAAATTTTTCATGTCATAGTTTTCTTTTCAAAAAAGGTTTAAATAGAGTATCTATCAGATGGATATTTCAACCTCTTTTTGGAGGCACACATTTTTCTGTTTTTTCACCTACACTTTGGTGAATATAAATATATATAAATCATGCTTGCAATTTCTATATTTCTTTCATGTTCATTTTTTTATTAGTAGATGATAGGAAAAGGCAATTAAAGAGGTGAATATTTTTAAGTTTTTTGCCCTTTAGCAAGGTGTAGAGAAAGTGGAGTTAATCAGGCTTTTTTCCACCTTCCGGCCACTAAGGCTAGCCAGCACCTGTGGCCTTGCTTTCATTGCCCATACATCATAATGAGTTGGGGAGCATGGGGCACACCCAATTGTGGACACCTGGGGCAAGAATCCAACAAGCATGGGGCAGATATATCTATGGGACTGAGATCCCGCAAGAGGGAGACGGAGAAAGAACACCAGAGAGAAACTAGGGAGGAAGTGAGGAGATCATGGGGGTTGGGGGGCTCAGTTGCTGCTGGCCTCCTAGGCCCCTGCCCCCTGCCTCCATGCTTGCTAGTCTACCTGTACATGGTCCCCTGCTCAGCATTAAAAGCTTATCAGATCCATTCAGGTCTCCAAGTTTCTCTTTATCCATCTGCCTGAGTTGACAGTGAACCTGCCCAGCCTGGATGGTTGCATGGAACAACATTACATCTGTTCCTGTGATTTGACAAAGGCAAATGTCTGTGCTTTCAAAGGCATCCAGGTGCATGTGCTCCACCTACAGCTACCTGAGGGGGGGGGTGTGGGTGAGGACCTGTCTCACTAGCTACCGGTTCTTCCATTACCTCATGAATAGTCTTGGCTTTCAGAGACGCTCCTTACATCATCAAAGCCATTTCTCTGTTTTAACAGTGGCAGTCCCCAGAGAAGTCATTTCAATTTCATTACCTCCTAGTGTTCTTGGTGTCAGAAATAATATTTATATTTTGTAAGAGGTGTGAATGCAATACTGTAATTACTGAGCACATCAATAACATTATGCATGTCATCCAGCTTATAGTCTCATCTTGTTCATAAAAACAGAAACCATGTTCTAATAACAGGGAGCTCAGAAATAAAACTTCAGGAGCAATCCAGTCACAAATCAGAACTTGTCATCCCTTTTGAGGTCATTTATCAATAGGTGCAATGCTTTTAGCTGTTGTTTTTCTGTTGCATGAGATGCTGGATTTGGTAAGCTAAGTAGGGCTTGAAATGTGATTTCGTAGCTCCTTTGAGGATGGGGAATTGCATGCTATCAGTGCATGAAGCAAATTATGTCTGTGGATACACAAATGCCTCCAGGAGTAATCTTAAAGCCAAATGATCTTACCTAGGCATCTGCCAGCTGCCTTGGCACCAAACTTGAACATTTTCATTTCCAAGATGTGCTATCCCTTTATATTTGCCCACAACTCAATTTCATTCTTTCTCTTTTCTTTTTCCTTTTGCTACATTGATTTCAAATTGAGTGTTTTAGAATGATAATACCTTTACTCAAGTTGCTTTTACCTGCACCCTATAAGAAAGTCCTCTCAATTCCATCACACTTAGAGAATGTGGTTCCCTTGCATAGTTAGCCAGTGATATCTCCATTTAGCAGTTGAGGTAGGTGAAATAGACAACACATGACATATAGACTAGTTCTGAATAAAAATGGGGTTCAATTGTGTTTTTGTCCTTTTAAAATATTTTTTTTAACTTACTGTTGCTGGCTCATAGGAAAAGAATCATGGTAGGGGAGGAAAGAATCAAAACACTTTTTAAAATTTCAAAGACCAGGAGAGGTTCCTAAGTACTTCAGAGAGCATTAACTTTTGCTGATGTTGTGGACTGAGAGAGCTGGAAATGTCAAGAGTTGGTGGAAAGGGAGAGAAGACATCCTTCTAAATGGAAACTTCACTAGCTGCAGCACCACAGTGACAGAATTACCTGATGGTGCCACTTGTCAGCTAAGCTAGTCTTTATGCATGATGCTAAGCTAGTCTTTATGCATGTTGGGACAGAGGGGACCCTCTCCACCTGCCTTGTGTAACTGACTGTGCATTATGCACATTTGTCTCCCAGATGACTTTGTAAGAACTAAAGCCCCAGAGGCATTGTTTGGGTGCACTTTGGGGATGCAGCTTCACTTGTATTATTTTCTCTTAATCTGAAAATAGACAGATGGGAGTTTTTATCATTTTTTAATATGAGAAGCAACCCTGGTATAGCAGGTAGACCAAAGTATGACTGGAAGCCTGACTGTTGCTTTAGTGGCCATTAGTCTCATGCCATGATGTCGAGAGAGGGGGGAGGGGGGAAGAGAAGCAAGGATTGCGTTTCAGCCTATTTGGTTATTGAGTGTTAAAATCTTGGTTATTGAGTGTTAAAATCTCACTTAATTTAAAAACATATGGATATTGCCTTTTCCTGAAGTGTCTTGACAAGTTCCTCAGTTCCTTATTTCTCTGTAGACTAGCAGGATGGAGCCATTTTGTGTTACTTCAGCCTTTTGAGATCCAGTGGGTACTTTCTGGTATAGTAGATCTGGGATGGGGGTCAAGAATCTGCATTTCCAATAAGCTCCCAAGTGGTGATAATGATCTGGGATCACACTGTGTGAAACTCTGTTTAATGCCAGTATTTCCACCTGGTAAAATCAGTGCCCATGAACAAAGTACCACAGGGTAACATCTGTCTTCCAGGAAATGATCCAGTTCTGTCAAGCATATATTATGACTCCACTTACAACTGCCTCATTCAAAAATAGTTTGACTTAAAATCTTCCATATTTAGAGCTGTTGAACATGTACACATGTGTGCTTTTAATATTAGATGTGTTGATCAGATTTTACGTCAAACTACATACTCTAAGTAAATGGACTGTCTCATTTGGATAATGTTTTTGAACGTGTGCAAATGATAAAAAAAGAATAAATAGAATTTCCAAGAAAAGATGAAATGCTGCAAGGAAGCAGAATGTTAAAAACAGGAAGGCTAATATGTATCTGAAAAGATTTTCTCCCTGATACATCTACTATAATACAGTGTGGTTCATTTAAATTTTATTTTAATTTTAAATATTTAGTTATTTTACACTAACGGGTTTATATCTCCAATTCACTGTTTTTATTGTATGCTTAATGAGGGAAGAAAGCATTTGTATTAATTAAGCCCACCCAACCAGAAGCTCAAGATATGATGACCAGAATAGTCCTCCTCTCTGATGAATTTGGGTGGTGTCTCCTACATCAAGCCTCCTTACAAAAATTTTCTCTCGAGTGTATCCTGGGATTGGAAACAGGCCTACAGAGCCCTCTAATGGCCCAGACCTTAAATACATCATACAGTCGTCTCTGGGAAATTGCCTTTCAGATGTCTGATCATCACCACCCAAAGGTTTCTCCTGTTTTTCTGGTTCTGTGTTTACAAAAATGGACCTGACAAAAGGCCAATTCATCCTTTCTGGCGAGTGATTTGGGACTACATGTTTTACTTCTGAATATGTTGTAACTTAAGCTGTGTATTGAAATATCTGTTACCTGATAGGCTTATAAAAAGAATACACAAAAGGTTACATTAAAGAGAAACAAAAACTGAAAACTGTAACTATTTCCCAGCAAAACTCTCTCAGAAAATTTATATAATGCCACATATTTTTTCTTTAATGTTTGAAATGTATACATTTATAAATTTAACTATTTTTATCAGTTTTATAACTTTTTTTTAAATATAAGCATATTGGACATCTCTGTTTCAATTTAATATAGATGTCATTTTAAATAGTATTGAATAGTGAAAGACTATTAAAAGGATGTGCCGCAACAGGTTTTACCAGTCTCCTATTATTAGGATATTTTCAGTTATTTTGTTAGCCAGCTTTATTGATGTATGATTGATATAGTGCATATATTTCAAGTACACATTTTGATAAGTTTTGGGTAGAATCAAAATAAAGACTGTATCTTCCACCTCCCCCAAAATTGCTTTGCTTTGTAATCCTGTTCTTCCCCACATAACACCCCTTCTCTAGAAAAACACTGATCTTCTGTCATCACACATTAGTTTGCATTTGCTAGAATTTTTCTGACTAGAATCATATGGTAGGTACTCTTTTGGTTTATCTTCTTTTATTCAGCATAATTATTATGAAAACATAGTTATTTGAAAAACCAGTTTAGTTATGATGTATCCATAATTTAGTTACCTGTGCTCCAGGTAACTCTTACCCTCCTTGGTCCAGTGGCTACCCAAAGTTTTTGCTTTTCATAGAGAAATAAAAAAGAAAAATAGGCAAATCAAACCTGTGAGCACGTTTCATTATGTTCACCAGAATTTATTGACTAAACACTGCAAATAATCAACCCCAAGTCAAAGGACAAGAGAGTAAACTCCATCTATCGTGAGGTCATGGTGAGGCCAGGCTTAAAGATGATACCCAAATCATGTAACTATACTAGGAGAACAGTCCCTTGATGAAAACTTAGAAATTCTAGCAGAATACACATAGTAAAATTTAGAACAAAAAATTATTATGATTGGTAATATTTTCCCATGGGATATTTTCCCCTATTGTGGTTTCCAAAACCAGAATCCTTTCTTAGAAGCATATTCCTGGTTACTTCTTTCAGACTTTTGATAGAAAATAGTACTGAAGATCAGGATCACAAAAGGATTAAGAATGTTGGGACCACATAAATAGCAAACTTTAGTGGTGATGCAGTCACAAGGAATGGAAAAAATTTTTTTTTTTTTTTTTTTTTGGTGGGGGAGAGTTGTGTCTTAAGGGAAAATATATATCCCTACGTTTCACCATGTAAGGTCAGAGTTGTGAACACTTCCCCAACCTTTTATCTAGGAATTCTATTACCTTGCAACCTTCCCTTTGCTCTTTTTGTAACTCTATCAAATTATTCTTTGATAGCAGTACCTTAAATTATCACTCTTAAGATTAAGGGAGCAAAACCCAATAGAAGCTGAGTGATGAAGCCACCCTCACATTTTTTAAGACAGTCAGGTGGATACAATAGATATTTGATGACAGTAATTTTATGCAGCTGTAAGAGAGCCATAGACACATCACTACTGATGATAGTTAATGACAACATTAGCTTCCACTTCAATTTTGTGCAACTCATATGTGTTATTTACAGTGCATTTATTGTCTTCACTAGTCATAGAAATTTTCCTAGGTTTTATTACTCTTTTTTTATGTGTGAAGAAATGAAGGCTTGAAGAAGCAAAATTCATTGCCCAGATGTAAACAACTGGCAAATGGCAGAATTGGGGTACAAACTCAGATTTATCTCAAAATCTAACCACGACTCACTATAATCTAGTCCCACTTTTCAGCTTTGAGCTCTAAATTCCCATTTGAGTGAGCTCCTTTAAAGGGATCCATTAGACTCATAAGAGACTGCTGAACATATTTGTTCAGCTAAACTTTTATGGAAAACCTGCATAATGTGAGAAATTCCTCTGAAGTCTCAGAGTCCCTGTTTGAGAGATGTAGCACCATCTCTCAGCAGTGGCCTGGAAACACTGGAGCTAGAGGTATCTGACTATGATCCTGCCTTAGCTGTGTGGCATCTGGGAGACCCAGAGTGATAGATAACCCAGTTCAGCCCATGCCCCCTCATTTCCAAATAGGGACATGAAGCCATCTGCCTCTTGAATTTTTGTAGTGATTATGCAGTGCAGATAAAATGCTGTTTGAGGAATTTAGCAAATTGCTTTAAAGGCAACAATAGAGTTATCCTTGTTGGATTGCAGTTACGGGCACTTATGTGAATTAAGGTTCATAAGACAAAGTCCTAGAACTGTGCCTTCACACATTCTAAGCATAATGTGTTTGCAAAATTTCAAAATATAATTTGTTCCAACATAAGTTGGTGAAAAACACAACTCACAAAGATTTTAAAAAGAGAACAAGGGAATCAATTTTGTGATTGTAATTATTCAAGACAGAGTGATCTTAAAAGATTATGATCCTGATGATATTTTAAAAGTATGAATGAGGAGTAATTACAGTGTAAAATAGAAAACTGAAGACCAATAGCTTTACATGAAGTTTTCCTTCTACCTGAGTATTGATATAATAAATAAATCTATTATCTCTTATGCTCACAAGCTTTTTATATACTTGTAAGTTTTAACGTTTTATGTCTTTGGCAAACATTGACTAAAATAATTCCTGCACCTTATAATCTTTCTCTAAACATCTCTATTCTTATTATGTGATACTTTATTTTTGTGACCCTTCAATTTGTAGACAGCAGATATTCAATATCAAAGCCTATGCCAAACACCAAACATGTAACTCTAATTATGTGAAAACATAATTAGACCCTAGTTCTTTTCACTGTGGTACAGTTTATGGAGACATTTTTTCAGTTCCACCCTCTTGTTTCACTTGAGCCTGGGTTAAGCCAATTTCAAAAACCCATATTGTTTTCCTATATCATGATACCACAGTAAATGAAGAAATATTAATTTTAGCATTGTAAGTTTTTCATTATTATCATAAAAGCCCTTCCTACCTACCTTCCTTCCTTCCTTCCTTCCTTCCTTCCTTCCTTCCTTCCTTCCTTCCTTCCTTCCTTCCTTCCTCCTCCTCCCTCCCTCCCTCCCTTCCTTCCTTCCTTCCTTCCTTCCTTCCTTCCTTCCTTCCTTCCTTCCTTCCTTCCTTCCTTCCTTCCTTCCTTCCTTCTTCTTCCTTCTTCCTTTTTATTTATGTATACAAGAACTGGGGTGTAGGCCACAGGTGTTGGGGGCGTGGATAGATTCACCACAGACAGAGTGGGGAACAGAACAGGTGGATTGACTGAAATACACTGCTGAGGGGAGCAGCGGGCGAGACAGGAGAGGTCTGCTGCATCATGTGGGTTAGCTCCCTGGCTGGGGATTGAACTCGTGCTGAGGTGGCTGGCAATAGTTTGATAGTGCTGAGACTTAACTCCTTGTGCCATCAGGCAGGGAGGCCCAACTTTCAACCCATGTTTAATTTGACTTTCTCATTCAAGAATGTTACTGAGCTGGAGCTCCTTGTAGAGCAAATACTGGAGTACTTGGTTCTTTGCTCCTCCCTTCCTCTCCCTTTCACTCTTCCTCCCTCAGATACATAGTTGAGAAAACCAATATTTTGGATCACATGGTAAATCAAGGGATAGGGTGCCTCTGAGTGGTTGGGGTTACTGCAATGTGGTTAACACAGAGTAACTAAAAATTTACACACACGGAAACTAAAAATTTAGTTTCCCAGAGGAACATCACAGCCATGGGTTATCGTGACAGGTCCATATCTTGACCCAATTCTTTTTGAGATTTCTGAGCTAGCACAGAATGAGATTCTTTGGATCTTGGTGGCATAATAAGCCATGTCTTCAAAATTCTTTTTGTTAACTAGATTTGGAGCTGGACAGGAACTGGGTCCTGGGCCATGTTCCCAGGTGTCTTAGGTTATACTTGGCCAGAGTTAGTTATTTCCTCTCATTGCATTTAGCTAGAGACTCTTGAGGAATGTGAGGAGTCATCTAATGGTAAACTGTCAAACACGGTTTAAGGCTGTCAGAGGATATTGGAGGATTACAGCTGAGATGTATCATAACACTGTCAGATTCAAGCTAATACATGTTTTGTTTTGTTTGTTTTAATAGAATGAAGTCCCTGAGGCAAAGAAGGAGGAGACTTTGTTGGATCTGGACTTTGACCCTTTCAAACCTGAGGTTGCCCCTGTGGGTTCTGCTGGAGTGACCCACTCACCCATGTCTCAGGTATCAAGTGGAGTTTCTGATTTGGGGGGATGACATTTCATAAACATTAATAAGCTCTGTAAGGAAACATCAGCCTTTTAGTGACACCTCTCCCTTTCAAATAACTATACTTTTCATTTGGGGTGACAGATATTTCCAAACCTTCCCATTCTATTGACTTTCTCTATTTGTTGAGCTGGGATAACCATACATTCCTGTTTGCTCAGGAATCATAAATCTCAGTGTAATTATTCATTGTGCCTGTTAGTACTCAGAAATATCCAGGTTTGGAGAATACATTTTATGACTTCCCAAAGTAAAACTCTTCCTGCTGGCTTTGGGTTTACTCTTATTTTTTCTCTACTTTCCTTTTTCATACTTTGCAAATTAAGGCATCTCTGAAATAATCATGAGATTATACCACAACAGGCACATTTTTTCAGCCTTGATAGTTCTGATCTTGATGATGTCCCCATCCTTCACATTACAGATTCCCTGTGTGATCTTGATTATGACTCAGTGCAAACTTAGTCTTGTCTGTCTATGCTCATCCAGGCTCATCACTACTTCACTCTCAACACTTCCCCATTTCAATAACTATTGCATTCTTATATGATAACATTGTATAAATATAGATAGCATTCTCTGTTAGAGGGACACTGGTGGTGGGTATTGAATTGACTTGTGGGTAATTTCTCTGGAATATAGTTTTTTACATTTGACTGTGTTCCTGGAAGGAAGTTAATTTAAAACTTTGGCTACATAGAAACTATTTATAACAGTATTTTGGATAGGATTGAAACCTCACATTTGAATTTGGGAACATCTAAAGGTGGTAGAATATACTTCAAGTTGGTTCATGAATGTTTATTGTAAAACTTAGCTTAGGAATTGAGACCATGCTCAATTTCCTGGTCTTGGAGCCTTCTTGATATCTTAAAGTAAACCCCTGGGGCACAGACGGCTCAATGTGAACCTCCTTAAATGAAACTTCTTCTTTGATCAATGCTTCATTCTAGATTGTGAGTGACTTTCTAGAGTCCTCATTGTTGTAATTCAGGAATAACAATCTGAGCTATTACTTATGGAAGAAGTTAAGTAGATCAGACATTAGTCTTAAGGGTACTTTGAAAAAAATGGGTTTCTTAGGTGAATATTTCAGAAAAATCAATCAGTTTTCTTTTAGGAGCATGACTGTGTGCATTTGATTATTAAAGACTCCAAAAAGTCTTGCAATAGAAAGGAAAAAACCTGTTTAGATTTATCTAACATAGTTTCCCAAATTTGTCTGACCACAGTGAAACTTTATTAACATTTATTTGACTGTTCTCTAACTTATTTTGGGAATTGCTATTTTAGTCATTGCCAGCAAATTTGAGAATTCTGCCATAGTGGCCAAGAAAAGCAGAAAGTTAATATATGTCCAATTGAGGATACTTCCATCTCAGAGCTTTCTCATTGTAAAGACAGAATAATTCATTATACTCCTCTAATTTGCTCTCCCATGTTTATTACTTTGGTTTGAAGGAAGTTTCCATAGTGGATGCTGTGCTATCAGTGTTAGAGATTTCACGACATTTCTATAGCAAGTTAGAGAAATCTCTTTTATATAATTCATGATTAAATCGATCCATAAATCATGAAACTTTGTGTGAATTTATGAGTAAGAATTTCTTTCAGAATATAAAAAAAAATATGACCTTGGTTAAATCTTCAAAAGACTTAGTTCTGAAGGAAATGCATTACTGCAGTTAGAAAAAGCTGTGCGCGCCACTGTCCTTCCCTCCAGCCATGTAATAAACTGCTTGGCAGTCCCTGTGGCTGTAATTGAGTCACCTCACTGCAGAGTCCTGCAATCCAGCCCTAATCACATCTCACCTCTTCGCTAAGAAAAAAAGTCTTAGGTGGAGATAACAGAAAGCGCAGCCATATTAGATTCTACTGACCTTTTTCCCCTTCCCTCAAGTGATCTCCCTTTCCTATCACCTGACTCTGTTTTAAATTGATGTTCTTACTACTAGCAGAACATCTCATCTTGTGATCTCTTCAGTGTCCACATGAGCTAACACCTTTTTTTTTTTTTTTTGTGATCCTCAGGATTGATAAACGCAAAGATGAGGTTTCATGTTACAGCCTTCCTCTGGTGAAAATGCAATGTTGTATACATTATATAGGAAAGTATAGTAGGTTTTAAGGGGTTAAGAGCCTGTGAAGCGAGAAAACATAAACCATCTGGATAATTGGCAGGCACATATTAAATAGAGAAGCCATAATGTACACAAAATGGGTGCTTTCACTGGAGCTGTTTCGCTCTTTCTTAGTCGCTCTACAGGCAGGTGCTTACTGGAGACCAGCGGATGCACAGCGCTGCAGGGCACTGGGGCAGTAGGGTTAGAGCAGGCGGGGCCAAGCGAGTGTCCATCAGAACCACAGGGTCCTCCTTCATTAGCACAGATTCCAAACAAGACATCTGTAATCCCATCTGGAAACTCATGTTCTTAGGCTAGGATTCTAATTTACTATTCATATTTGTGATTTAAAACATGTACATAAAGATCGATTCCAGCCACAAAGACAGGGCAGAAAAGGATGTGGCTTTAGCACTATTTCTAGTCACATGGAAAGTAAGAAGGGAAGATCTCCCCACTTCCCCCACACTCATTGTCAGTCACTTAAACCATCTGGATTTATTCTGTAGGATCAGTAAGCTTTATAGTAGTAAGTGCAACTCATCCTTTTATCTTATGGGGCATCCTGCTAGTTTGCATGATTACCAATTAATTGAGCTTATGTTATCATGTAATGCAACACATTGAAGAATGCTTTTCTGGGGTTCTTTTATCATTGACCTGCTCATGATGCATCTTCTTTGGTAGGGGAGGGCTGGGGAAGTAATAGCATTAGCAATAGTTAGGAATTTATTTCCTCAAGGATGTGATGAATTTTAATATTTGGTTACCTGTTTACTTCTTTTTAATTGTGTTTGTGTATAACAGTAAATCCATTCATTGTCATTCACATATATCTGTCCACTGTTGTAGAGCTGTCCTGTCAAATATGGGAACCACTTGTCACATGTGGCATTTTAATTTTAAATTATTTAAACTTGAAATACTTAGCTGTAGCATGTGTCATCTGCTCAGTAGCCACATGTATAGTGGCTATCCTATTGGACTTCCAAGATACAGGATGTTTTCTCATCAAAGAGAGTTCTGTTAAATAGTGCAGCTGTACTAAATGATTAAAAAATGTTAATGACCTTATTTCAAGAACTTTTATCACCTCAGCATGTTTTTACATGATTAGGATTTGTAAACTTAAAGTACTTTGTCCGTTTGCTTTCAGACATTGCCCTGGGACCTGTGGACGGTAAGAGTACTAAGAGTTCTGTATTTTCATGTGCCTGGTTCCCGAGAAATTTGGAGAACATACTATATATTATTTCATCTGTGATGCAAAGCAGAACCATACAGTTTGAGTGATGATGTAGTCCCCTAGAACAACCATCAGTCCTTGGCAGTTCCAGGCATTACCAGCTTCCAGAAGAGTGGTGAGGAGGCACAGCAGAACGTCAGGCTCTTGGATGCAAGAGAATTTGGTGTTGTGACCTCTGGGCCTCTCCCCGCAATTGTTGGTGGCTGTAAATATTGGTGGTTGACATGCACACTGGTTATTGCTTTCAAGTAGAATATAAGAAAAGTGTGCATGAGAAGATGTAAGGAGGGGGCTGCACTGCACAGGGAACCATTTTTTCATTATTCTTTCAGTGAAACTTTATCAATAAGGATTTGAGCTGTGGAGTCAAACCACCCTGAATTTAAGTGCAGGATCTATTTCTTATATGATTTAGAGCAATTTCTGAAACTATCTTAGCTTCACTTTTTATCATATGTAAAATAACGATAGTGACACCTTGATGGGTGTGTGAGGACTGAGTGAGATAATATTGGAAGAGGATCTAATCCAATGGCAAGATACGTATCAATAAAAGATAGATGTTACTCTGATGTTATTTATTCAGCTAATCTGATGCGCTAGGATGAATACTTACAGAATTTATTTGAATACTTCAGAATTTAGAGTTAGGAAAAGACACAAACAGCTTTGTGGTAGCAGCATCTGTGCTGTGAAATTAGGAAACTGAACACACCCATCTAAACCTCACAGTCCTTGGGACAGAACGTTGGTCTTCTCACTCTCAGAAGTGCCCTAGGTATGGTCCTTAAGCACACAAATTGAGTTTCCATGTTTGCCTTTTTTATTTATTTATTTATTTTTTAGTGAGACAGTAACAGGGTATTTTGGTAGATCTAGTTCTTAATAGGCCTGGCTTGGAAAGTGCCATGGCTGCTTCCTTCCCTTAGGACAGAAAGATGGTTGTCCCTTATCTTACTCAGAAGCAAGTTTAAGTAGCACTTCTTAGGATCCTGGAGCATCATGGAAAGTTCTTAAGAGAAGAGTTAAAAATTTCAATTGAAAACATCCTTTACAGTGAATTGGTTTTTTGTGTCTATTTACATAAAAGGGATGCATCAATTGATGTTCAGGACATTTGGATTCTAACCCCAACTGTGTTAATTTCTTTGGCTATAAAGAGGACAATGTTATTTTTTTGCTTGTTTGTTTTTCAAATATATCTTTGGTTTGAGAGTATGAGGAGAGGGAAAGTATCATCTAGAAGGAGAATTTCAAAGGACAGACCTGCTAGAAATCATTATAATAGCAATGTTGCAGACTAGTTCCCTAAATATTATTGCTCACATTCCATGGTTTGCTCAGTTCCTCAGAGTTGCTGCTTTGTGTGCAGGGTAGGCTATGGCATTGTGGGGAGAACAGGAGGAGAGTCCTCCACACAGTTAGAGTGGTCAGATCAGTTTACCTCCAGTGCAGACCCAAGTGCAGGATGAGTTTGAGGAAGATTTTATTCTGATACTACATCAGAACATGTAATATTATATAATTCTGTGTCCACTCGTGCTTAATCTTAGTCTGCTGTATTCAGTCTTGCTTATTTGAAACTGCATTTTGGAGTCAGCTGAAAAAGAAATTGTGGAACAGCCATAAGACATCCTTGTTGATACTAGAAAGTGACAATGGCTTTCTTTGTGTTGCGATTGTGTAATCTTGAATAGTATTGGAATGAAATCATTCCTGTCTCAAAACAAGTTATAAAATTTAATCTCAAATTAGTAAAGACCGTAGCCTTCAGCAGAATGTTGACTCTAGACAGCAGGGGATTTAGATGTGCTAGCAAATTTTATTCTCTTACTTTATAATTTATTGCTTATCTTTTTGTTCATACAGACAAGCACTGATTTGGTACAGCCGGTAAGTGAATATCCAGAAAAAAGTCTGTATTTTTTTATAGTTAATATGCAGTATATAATTGGTATATTAGCTAGATTGAGCTTTTTCTTTCTTGAGGCTTTGCTAGTCACAAATTTAACCTTCAAACCATTTAATTTAAATACTCTCTAGTTTCATGTAACTTGTGCTACCCTACTAAAGAGCTTTGTGTTTCTCATCAAATCTTATCATGATCTATTTCATCTCTTTTTTTTCTTTGCTCTCCTGCATACTCTAAAGACTGACTCTTCAAAAAGTCTTTCCCTGTGTAACCTGATCATGGAGGAAACTCCAGACAGTGGGTTGGCCGAAGAAATTCAAAGATCTCAAATTGATATAGGTGCATTTATTTGGGGTCCTGATGGTAGCACAGACAGTGTCAGCCAGGAAATTACTCAAGGTGGGTCTCAGGAAGACTCTGCATGTCTCTCTGAAGCAGAGCAAGACATGGAATTTTCCACTGAGATGCTTTCTTCTGCTGACTGGCACACCATTGCTGAACATGGTGAGCCTGACCTGGGGCCATCCCCTCCATGTGGCAATGAAGAGCTGTCCCCAAAGCCTGTGCCTGAGACTGAATTTGCCATTGCTTCTGTTATGGAAACAGAGCAGCCTAATGACTTACCTGACTCAGAATTACCAGCCATGGACACTGGTGGCCTGGCCAATGCAAGTCAAGAAGATATTAAAAAGTCAGCAGAAGAGGAAGAGAAACAGAAGATAGAAGATTCTATGTGGGCAGGTGTGGAGACATGTGAAAAGGTAGACACTGGAGCTGTTGCTATCAAGGCACTAGAAGGTAGAGGGGAATTTGAAGAGAAAGAATGTGAAAGTATAGAAAATAAGGTAATAGATCTTCATAAGATAATGGCAAAGCAAGACCAGGAGCCCTTAAAAATCAATGGGGAGAAAAGTAGGAAAGATCTAAGGGCTACATATAAGGAAAATGCAAAGACCAATGAAAAATATTTCAAGAAAACTGATATTTTAGAAATAGGCATGGAAAGATTAGATATGGCAGAGGAATTTAGTGACAGAAGCCAAAGACTAGATGATGGGATTCAAGTAGTAAGTCGTTATGGAATTGTAGGGAGTACTGGAGCTAAATCTGCCAGCCATACAAATATTTCGAATCTGCCACTCCATACTGACTTTCTGTCTAATATTGAAGATGCCATCCCCGAGGGACAGGATTTAGTTAGTAAAGACATAAAAAAAAATTTAATAAGTCTTCACAACCACAATGTAATATGTCACACAGCACCGGACATTACAGATGCTAAAGAAATTCAATGTGAGATGGTGTCACATGTTCTGGAGGTGAAAAGGATGAAAATCAGGCTGTTGTTTTATCAATAAAGCACAAAGTAGAAGCTCAGTCTAGAACAGACCTTGATTATTCCCTGGAAACTAATGCAAACAGAAAAGAGTGTTGTTTGTGTAAGGCAGAAAACCCATTAATAGAGGGATCTGAAAGTCCAATGAATGGAAGGACTAGTCAGCCCATTAACTTGCCAAGAATTACAAAAGCAGAAGCTTGGAGAATAGATACAGGTCAAATTTGGCAGCCAAGCTTGGATTCAAAAGTGAATAATATTCATATGTCGGAATTCTCTGGTAAACCAGATGGCCAAGCAAGTAGCTTTGCCACCTGCCATGATTCTATTAACTGCTGGTCTATCAGAGATTTGAGAGACTTGGAAAATTTTTGGGAATATGTAAATATGGTTGAGAGCAAAAAAGAACTGGAGGTAGACTTACTAGCAGATGTATGTGGGGGAATAGCCACTGCTAGCTGCTGGGAGCAAAGTGCAGAGAGAGCTAGACCATTTATTGTGGGAACCTCCCAGAATGCTAGCTCCGAGAGTTCCACTATTCCCCAGGATAATGACAACAACAACTCAGATTTATCTGAAGATGAAATTGTTAACCAGAGATATGGATTATTGTACCAAGAACTAGAGGCTGATAAAGAAGAGGTACTTACCCCAGTATGTAGTGTAGACTAGTCCAAAACTTCCGTAGGTTCTGTTTTTCCTCATGTTTCCCACCTACTTCATTGATCATTACTGTCTTCTCAAGGCCTGTCTCATCTCCTTGGTAGCTTGTCATGTACCTCTTTAAATCTGTGCAAATCAAACACAAATAGGTTGACAAAAAACACACACGAAAAAGCAGAATGATTGCATTGGTAACTAATGAAATTATTTTAGCATCCCATTTACTGGTCTCCTTGTATTTACTGTACTGTTCAAGCATTAAAAATGTATAGAACACACTCACGGTACCTAAGTGGTTCCATTCCAATAGGAATTCATGAAGTGTTTTTACCCAGACCCACTGAAGCAATAGAACCGTTTTATAGCTGTACATCAAAATGATATCTTAGAGAAACACTGCAGACACTTCTGGATCCTCTCAGTGGCCTGAAAAAAAGAAGGATTTATCCCCTCATGGCTGTTTTCTGCAATCATCTTGTCATTATTGAGAAAACAGGTTTTGGGTAGCACTGAGCTACACATCAGCAATAATTATAAAAATAAATCTTTTTTGTCAGCCTATTTTAAATAATACGGTATGGCCTTTATACATAGAAATGTCTAGACATTTCCTAAGCACTTTCTCACAGTATCCTTTTGTACTATTTTAAATTTGTGATTGTCTTTACCTTCTAACTTGTCTAATGGATATTTACCAACCCTACAAAATAATAAAAAATAATATACTGTGATTTTCATTTCTATTTAGGCTTCTGGTGGCTCATTTAATGAATTCACCCAGGTAAGAAATTGATTTAATGGCAAATTCCATCCATTCAGTATGATGAGAAATTTTCAAATAAGGATCTGGTGTCTTCGATATTGCATAGTGATTAAGCCTGTTGGCCCTATACTTTACCCTACTATTTATAAGCTCTTTAATGGAAATAATTACAGCAACATGGCAGGGTTGTTATGAAGATCAAATGAGATATACATGCAGAGTGCTGAGCCCAGTGACCCGGCACATACTGAGTACTCCATAGTGGAGCACTTGTTAGTGGTACTAGCTCTACCTTGGAATTCTGCTGCCTTGTTCAGTAAAAATTAAAAGCCTCTTATTTATAGTTGCCTATTTAGTTTGTTTTTTATTTATTGTTATTTTTTTTTCCTGAAACCTTATTTGGTTCCCATATGTTTCTCCTATAAGTGAAACCATCTGGTATTTTTCTTTTTCCTTCTGGCTTATTTCATGGCGCATGGGTGAATTGGTGCTGGGAATTTTATAGGGACTACACCTGAGAGGAGAAAGCAAGCATTGTACAAAAATGAACAATGCTGTAAAATAGATATAAATAATTAAAAAAAATTAGAAGCTGGGCCTCCCCGGTGGCGCAATGGTTGAGCGCTGGGTTACGAAGCTGCCCTCAGCCTCTGCAGCTCTGGTTCCATCCCTGGCTGCTCCCCGGCCACCGGAGGAGGGTCCCACATGGCGCGCAGACCTCTCCTGCCGCCCGCTGCTCCCCTCAGCAGTGTATTTCGGACCTTCTGCCTGCCTGCTCCCCGCTCTGGCTCTGGTGAATTCTCTCATCCTCCCACACTTCTGACTGTACCCAGTGCTTGTATAAATAAATAAATAAATATTAAAAAAAAAAATAGAAGCTGTCCTGATCTGAAAGGTCCCTAAGATTCATCTGTTAGAGAAGAGGAGATCGAATTGTTTTGAGATTGTAATGAGATGGATCTTTAGAAAATGTAAGAGATTTTGAGAAACCTCCTTCCGAAGATTCCTTGGAACCACACTCCCCAGAACTCACCTCTTTATGGTTCTCGAGAAAGTTCAGAAAGTTCATGGAAGTTCAGAAACCACACATTGCCTCTGTCCTATGATGCAGTGTTTTCCTCAGGAGAATGTGAAAGAAGAGCCACTAGTCAGCAGAAGTTATGACACTGTACTTGTCCCAACCTTTGAGAGTTGTAGCCCAGGATTGTCTGTGATGAATACATCACAGGATTGTCTGTGATGAATACATTCTTTTTTTTAATTTAATTTTATATATTTTACATCATTTTTCTGAATACATTGTCTCTTAACATTACATATGAATGATTTTAAATTTTAACATTCAGAATTATTCTTAAAAATTAGATAACTATTCCCTATCTTACCTATAAAAGATCCACTCATATACCCATTCTCATTCTCTCTCTCTCTCTCTCTCTCTCTCTCTCTCTCTCTCTCACACACACACACAGATAATAATGCATGTCTTCTCTCTACATAAACCTACATAAAATTGCTATTCATTTATCATTTTTTAATTTTATACTTTTATTAGTTGTAAATGCACATAAAGAGTTAAGAAAATTTTGTAAGGATTTTTTTTTATTTTAAAACTTCAGATGACTGTCATACACCCCCCTCATCTCCCTTTTCTTAAAGGTAAATACCACCCCTCTGCCTTTTCCCTCCCACCCCCCCAATATACTCTCTTTTTCTTTGGAAGTTTGTAGTCTTTTTACCTCATGTTACAGTGTGGTATGTTGGTGTGAATGCATTTTCATACATTGGATTAGCCTTTTAATCTAAAAATTTATGTCTTTCAGTTTGGGAAACATTTTCTTATTTCGCAGGGATTTCTTTCCTTTGTTTCTGTGTTTGCTCACTCTCTAACACTTCTCTCATTTTGAATTCCTGAGCTAATCTTTTAACTATTTTTTTCTTTGCAATTTCCTTTTTACTGTCCTGCTATCTAGTTCTTCAAATTTCAAACAGACTTTCCACTTCTATATACTTTTAATTCCCAAGAGCTCTCTGTTTGTTTGTTTTTGAATATTTAATAGCATCCTCTATATAATGAATACAGTATCTTCCATTATATCTCTGAGGGTACTAACAATAATAAACATTTTTGAAGGGCCTCCCCCCACAAAGTCTTTTTCTTCTACTTAATATTTTTAACCATTCAGTTATTCTGTTTCACATTTAAGACTTTTCACAAATATCTGGTAATCTTGACTGTCTACTCGTAGTTAGGGGTGGACACTAAAAAGCTGACAGGAAGCTTGTACAGATAGGTAGAGTTCTTTGACTATGGGCATGTTCTAGGATTTTTTGACTCATCCTTCCTGTTGAGGACTCCTTGATGTTACCCCACATTAGATTCTTTCAGCACTTATTTTTCTTAAGCTGATCAGGCTTCCCTGGGAAGACTCTTCTGATTTCTTGTCTAGAGACTACAAGCCTACCTGCAGCAGATTTTTTTTTTTTTTTGATTCATCAAATTGTTATTCATTCATCTACTTTTCAACTCCAAACTTTTGTTTCTCTTTCTTCTCATTCTTTTTACCATTATAAATTTTTCCTTTAAAAAAATCACACTATAAAATTCCCTTTGTTATTGCTTCCTTCGAATTCTGGAGAGAGTAGAGATAATTGCCTATGTTCAATCTGCCATCTTTAACCAAATGTCACTGGCTCATCTTTTCTGTTGGGAAGCCCCTAATGTCAAAATCTGTGGGCACGCTTTTTTTTTTCACTGGTCAGAATACCAAGGAAGGGCTCTTTTGGTCTTTTGTCTGGAGGATACTCGCCACAAGTCTGGCTGCCGTTTAATGAGAGATGACTATTCTTTAGGAGATCACTGTGTCATCAGATTTCCTCCAGCTTGATATTGTAGATCAGTGAATATAATATAAAATTTTATGTTATGATTTATAATTACCCTAAAGAAGTCATACTAAGGTGACATAGTAAGACTGAATTTCCAACATTTGAAAAACTAAATTTGTGTCCTAGTGCTACTAAAACTGTTCACTGTTGAAATCCAGAAGAGACGCTTCAGACCAAACATCCCCTTGAAGACACTGCCCTTTATTTAATAGCTTAATAGTTATTGTATTCTGTTAGCTCAGATTTATATTTAGAATGTTGTTAAAAAAAATCCTTGATTTTTTTTCTGATTTAAAATAAAGGAGAATTGTAAATCTTTATAATTATTTATTGACAACAGCTGGCGGGAGATGACTTATATATGTTTTTTTTTTTTTTTAGCAAATTAGCTGGAATCTTAATAATTTTTAATCTGCTATTTCCTTCCCAATTCTCAGCCCCAGGACACTTCATTATTCACTATGCAGACAGACCAAATCAGCAATGTGGTAAGTTGAGTTTGGTTTATGTGTTTGGTCATTGGCTACTACCAAGTATTCTAAGGTTGGTCATTCTTGGTTATCTAGAGCCTGAATATACAGAAAGTGGCTTCTATAGCCACTCTAGGATAGAAAAGCTTCAGAAAGGTATCAATTATGTTTTGAATGTGATTCCTTCTATTTCTAAAGACATGGTGATCCTAGCAGAAATCCAGGTTTCCTAATTTCGGGCTTCAGTAGGACCAGAGTAAATCCATTAAAGACATGGATATTTCCATGTGACTATAGGATTGAAAATTAAATACTTGAAAGTAGATCTTTACTTTTTCTTGAACTTGAAACTGCCTCACCTCTCATCTCCTACTTCAATGTAGAAAGCAGCAGTGCTTTGTAGAGATGTGATTCCTACTTTGCTGCCAAATGAAAGGGGAGGAGAGCTCAGCTGGGGAGTGAGGAAGAATCATAAAGAGTTACTGTTGGGGTCAGAAGAGATTTTTTTTAATTATTTTTTATTAAGGTGACATTGGTTTACAATATTAAATATGAGTCTGAGGCTTGGAATCCCACCTTCAGAGGACATTCTTACAAAATAATGTTGCAGTTCTGATGTGCAGCTTACAAATGTGGTTGAATAAGGAGACCCTGAGCGAGGTCACTATGAACTTGTCAGTGGCACGCCACATAGGTTTTTGCTTTTTGCAGATTAGTATATGAGGATTCTTTGTAGCTTATTTGGTTTCCCAAAGGAGCAGTGTCTAGCCCAGCCCCTGACTCACAGTAGAATCTTGGAATTGGATTTGAGTACAGTGAATTTTTCATTGTAAATGATTTCACTTTTAAGTATCAGGCTTATTTTCTGGGAAATTTGTCTTAAAGGTTATTTGGCCCTTTTCAAAGGTAAATATGTCTCTAATACCTTGTCCATAGATTGTCTTACTTTTGCCTTCTGGGGAACCAGGTGAAAGGCAGAGGCTGTGTGACCTGCAAATATATTTTAAAGCTTTGAAATAGAAATTATGTAAGTATGAGAGAGTATAAGGATGAGTTATAGGTTTATTGTGATTCTTAGCCTGGTGATAGAATAAGGATTATATTGATACCAGAGGATGAGATTTTTAATTATCAGTTGTAAATGGGTTAAGAAAACAGAAAAAATACTGGCATAAAATGAAAGGTGGTGAGTCAATTTAAACTCACTCCTACTACTTTGATGCAAAATATACAGGCATAGAATCCTCTGTTTTTTTAAGTTTCTCTGAATACGTCTCTCTGCCTACATCTGGGTCTCGGAGCTTCCATTGCCTGCCTTCTCCTTCCCTTGATATTTTCTGAAGGAGGCATCTAGCACCTTCTTTTCACTAGGCAGTTTAACTCTGTCATAGACAGTATTAGAAATGTGATCGTTCTGGCTGCCCTGTGAGAAACTTAAGAACTCAAAGTGAACCCTCATCTCTAATGCACTGGGAATGTACAGGACCTTCCCAGGGGCAGGATGATTTCCTGGCATTTGGTTCACTGAATAAAATGGATGATGAAGTTGGAAGTCAGCTACCTGTCTGCCCAACTCACATCTAATGGTCTCATAGGCCCTTGAACATGTTTAAATCCTTTTAAATCTGCAAACCTTGCTCAGAGTTTAGAGTTAATGCTATGGCCCTTTGCAGTTCTCACTAAATTAGTTCCTCCAGGACTGGAAAAGCAGGAATCCACAGCATCGCCATAGTGGAATGTGACTAGACTGTCATCCTACTCTCCTGACACTTCTCTTCCTCTGTGTTGACATACCTACCATCCCCCTCTCATGGAGGATACTGGAAATTGTGCACTGAGGCTACACTACTCATTTTGTTCTAAAGGAAGAATTTGATTTCTGAGTCTCAGATCTAAACCATTGTGGCCTCCTGCTGTCACCAATATAGTGTTCCTTCCTTTGATGTATAGTGAGCGCTCCTCCAGCAAACAACAGGAAATCATTACCATGCTTCAAAATAGGTATGGCATGGTATCAACCATGTGCAGTGTTTGTCAAAGGAGGAACTCTTTGGGAAAAAAAATAAATGAAATGGTTGAAGCAGGGTACAATCAGCAGGATGAGTTTAGATCTTTCCAAAAGATACAGTTCACAATTTACTTGTGCCTTTCTTTCCATCTTGACTAAATATTTACAATTTTACATTACCTGAGAAGGAATCAAAAGGTGATTTCTGTTTCCAAATTCGAGTATATGCTATCATATTATATCCTTACTCATCACTCAGGGGGTTATTTATCCCTCTAGAATTTAATTTGCAATATTCACTATAATAATACTAGGGAAAATAATGTGACTTTGGGGAACATAATCACTTCTTCCTCTTCATGTTGTACTTCTGTTATATTGTCTAATTTCAGCAAACAAACACAATTTGACAAATATAGGAGATCACTCTAGTTATTATTGTCTTCATGTAACTTCAAAAATTTCTTTTATTTTTTTTAAAGATTTATTTATTTATTTATTTATATATACAAGCACTGGGTATAGTCAGAAGCACGGGAGGGTGAGAGAATTCACCAGAGCGGGGAACAGAACAGGCAGACTGACGAAATACACTGCTGAGGGGAGCAGCAGGTGGCAGGAGAGGTCTGCGCGCCATGTGGGACCCTCACCAGCGGCTAGGGATGGAACCGGAGCTGCAGAGGCTGCGGGCAGCTTTGCAGCCCAGCACTCAACCACTGCGCCACCAGGGGAGGCCCACTTCAAAAATTTCATCAGACTCAAGAAAACCAAAATCTGATGCAAATACTTTTTTCACTTTAAGTTATTATCTTTGCATTGTTTTGTTGTTGTTGTTGTTGTTTAATGTTTGATATTTTTATTTGACTCGTTTTTGAAACTTCTCTTGACTCTTGTTCTGATTTCAGACTTCCTCCATAGCATAAACTCACATCTGCTGCTGGCTTTCTTAGTGCTTTGTTAAATTGCCCTTTATACCTTTCATTGGGTTGGTCATTTGCTACATACTCTCAGAACAAATCACCTTAACTTCCAAAATGGTAAGATCATACCCTGAGAGCTTAGAGTATGTTTTTACTGCTAGGAAAACGTTCCATTATGAAGATAATTCTTTTGGAACAATAAAAGTGAAATTATTTTCCATAGAGGACTCTTGAGAGTGTGTCAGAGTGAATTTTATCTCATTCTTTCTTAAGAATTGCATCAGATCACCTCTTGAAAGTTATAAAAGCCCATAAAAATAACAGCTTTCTGTGCACTTAAATACCGAATGTCCTTTATTTTTATTATGCCCTTTGAAGAGAAGGAAATGTGATCATGTTCACAGTGGAAGATTTGGTGGGGGTCACAACATAAAATATGTTGTGTATTTATCCAATACTAGGTATTCATTATTTATTCACTGTCCGTGTCTATATTCTCAGCATAACTTCTATCACTTCTGCATGGAACATGTCATGTGCTCTGACTTGTACATGCAGAACGAGAGGTGGCTTTTGTTTTCTTATGGTGAGTGGGGCAGACCTCACACTGATTTCCCAGAAGTTTATTTTTTGAAACTTGGATTTCTTCTAGAAAAACACTTCTAAACTTTGTTACATTTTAATTGTCTTGATAGTGAAGAATCTTAATGTGCCCTCTAGTGGCCATCCATTCAGTGAGCTAATCATACTAAATAAATATGCTTCTTTATATTAATCAAACTAGGGAACATTTTCAGCAACCATGATAACTTGCATTGGCTGTGGTATTGTTAATGGCCTGTTATTTAATATTGCTAATTTTAAAATGAAAAAGTTCTTGAGCTAAGAGCTTACAGAGGGCTGATTAGAATTGGAATTAGAATCAGAATATGTATTGGTCACAGCAGGACTAAAGGACCTCACTCTTGTCCACACAGTTAGAGGAATCTAATTTAATATCTAATGGAGAGTACTGCCTTATGGCTCCTTAAAGAATTACTTTATTATATGAAATAAACTGATTGCTAAGGATTTTATTGGAGGGAGAAGTGACACGGGACTAAACAGGAACTTGCAGGCAGCCAAGTATGATTCTGGTGGCCGCTTGCCAGGTAACTGGGTCTGTTCCTCCCAGCCTGACATTGGCAAAATAGGTGGGTAGTGACCTGTTTGTGAAAATTAATGCATTTTGGTCTGAATATTGGGAGGACCCCTCAATTTTGTGTGTGTGTAGTGCTTAACAACATACCTGGGGTGGGGGCAGAATCATGTGCCCTTTGAACTTTTCCTCACTCCTTCCAACTGGCAAAGGTAGACCTGTAGGGTCTGCTCTCTCTCTGCTAAGTAACAGGTAGTACCTGTTACTACATTTAGCATCTCTACTCAATATCATAATGAATTGAATAGTCAAAATGTTACAAGAAAGTACAACAAGATACCACATGCTAAGTTTTTGCTTAACTTCCAAGGAAATGACAATTCTTGATGGTTGTAAAACCAAAGCTTAATAAGAGTCTGCTCCTGACTTACCAGGTTCGTGATGCCAAATGTGGGGTTTTCATCCAGCACAGATTTAATGAATCTGCTGACCTGTATGATAAGAAGGAAAATCTTAATTGTCCGGTATTCTGTGATGTTATCTATTCACATATTGAATCTTTTTCCTCTAACCCTCAAAACAAACAATCAAAGGCTGAATCTGAACAGGCTGCACCCTCAGAGCCGAAATTGGAGGAGCCCCCTGCCGCTGCCACACCTGCTGCTGGGCTGGACCTTGGACTGGACACCGAGGCCGAGGCGCCAGCGGAGGGGGCAGTGGTGAGCGCCGCCTCCCTCCTACCCTCCACCTCCTCCCCCGCTGCAGCCATGCTCACCTCATCATGATCCATTTCTCCTTCTCATTGGGCCAAGTCACCTCCAAATCTGTCATGACTCCCCAGGTTCAAACAGTTTTCATTCCTTTGACAATGACTCCATTCTCTTTTATATTTTTTAAAAGGAAAATGTTTAAAGACCTGACCTTATGACTGATGGAAAACAATCATGTAGCCATAGGTTTAGTTTTTTTAAAAAAAGGCTGCATCGATTTTTTCTAATACTCTTCCATTCATAGCAGATAGTGATGCAAAGCTCACAAATAATCAGGCATGTTGATTCTATGATTTATCTGGAGATGCACCTTCCATTAGGCACCAACTTCAGGTGATAAGCAGAAGGATAATCACTCTGTTGGTTTCTAAAAATATTAGTTGTGTGGGTTGGTTAAGGCCCAAGAAGGGATTGGAATTCCATTTTACAAGTCCATGGCATATAAGGATTCCTGTATATTGAATCATTTGCTAAAAATCAAGTCCGATTCTGACTTGAGGGACCTTGAGGATGTATTTTTTGTAAGCCTAGAGACCCTCCTGTCTGCCTCCATTTGTTCTGTCCCTACTCCATTTAGCCATAAAGCCATATACACCACTTCACAGATGGGGGTGAGCTTTCTGTGCACTGAGGCAAATTGGGCAGTGTAACATCCATGGAAGAATACTGAGGAAAATTTGATTCAAAATATGAAAGAAATGAAAGTATATTTATGCACTGCAGCTATCATGTCTCCCAAGAATCTTAATCAGAGTAGCATTTACTGCAGCCTACAAAGAATCTGTACTAAGAAGAAAACCAGTCTCCCTATTCCAAAAATAACATTTCCTAGATTAGACAACAGAGAAATAAAAGCTAATTGTCTTGCTGTTAATGTCCAAGGTCATTTTACCAAGAAAAGCATAGATCATCTGTCAAATCCATCGTTTAGTCATAGAGTGGAAAAGAAAATAGCAGGGCAAGATAATGTTGAAAAATACAAATTAAGAACAATTCAGGGAAAATGACCATGTTTGTCATTTAAAGACAAAGTAGGGGCCTCTCTGGTGGGATAGGTGTTAAGTCTCAGCGCCATCAGACTATCTCCAGGCACTGCATCATGAGCTCGATCCCAGACCAGGGAGCTCACCCATATGATGCATCAGACCTCTTCTGACTCGCCCGCTGCTCCCCTCAGCAGTGTATTTCAGTCAGTCTGCCTGTTCTGCTTCCCACTCTGTCTCTGGTGAATCCTCTCACCACCTGCACCTCTACCCTACATCCCAGTCCTTGTATTCATAAATAAATAAAAATAAATCTTAAAAAAATAATAAAGATAAAATGAACTAAATCCTTTAGGTAAAAAGAGAAATGTATTCCACTAGATTGCTTCTCTTCTAGAAGCATTGCTAGTTCCAGGCACTTTACGGGGGGAGTTGACACTGTATCCAGTCTCCAGGGATTTTTTTTTCCTGTCACTCCCAAGTTCACTGCTCATCTCAACAACACAGTACAGATGGGACATTTTCAGTTAGTGCCACATTGTAATCTTTCCACCCAGCTTAGTTTAAGATTATTTAATTAAGAAAGGAAGGGAAAGAGTATTGAATTTTTGACTTTCAGAATTAAAAGATATGGATGATGCCAGGGAGCTAGAAAGATATGATTAGGTGTAGATAATGGTTTAGAAATTGCTGCAGTTCTGAAAAGTTCTTATTAAATTTCTATTTTTGAATGGCAACATAGGCTTTATCTTCACCAGTGTTTTTAAGCCACATTTATTCCATGCCCCAACTGTTCAGCGAAAGACTTAATGCCACGGTTTTGTGCAAGGGTGTTTGATGCTTTGCAATTGATTAGATGAGTCACTTTGACTCTTCATGACTCCCTCTCAGAGAACCATGAGACTTTCACCCCAGGCTTTTTTTAACAGCATTGTAAGCAGGCTCATTATCTCCCAATGAGCAATATTAGTAACTACCAATTATCAAGTTACCTATTATGTCATATATTTTACCATATGTGAACACATTTATATACAAGTTTATATATATAAAGTATATTAAAATATGCTACATGCTTTACTATATACTTGAGAATTTATAAAAGATTTATAAATTTTTAAACAATGGTGATTATATAACAATACTTAACAAATTGTAGTACAAACATCACTTGTTTTCTAAAACTTAAGGGTGAACTTTAAAAAATAGATACTTTGTGAAATGCTAGGCAATTTGAGAGTCTCATGAAGGATTCGGGCGTCTTCTGAGATTGGGAGATGGTATAAGAACCACAGGTCCAGAACTCACCTTCTGAGCCAATACTCTCCAAGAAGAAAAGTTCACGCAGTTGTTTATCTATCCCCATACAGAATAAAGTACAGGAGGAAGAATATTAATTAATATTATAGCAGTTTCATTTGCCTAATACTCATCACAAGTGACCACCTCCCATGTTTTTAAAATTGACATATTTGGATGAAGTTTAACTCTTCTCTGTATTCTTTCTTTCATTTAAGATAATATTGCAAAGAATGTATTTCTTCAGTTGTGATAATCCAACATAAAATAGAGTTCTTTTTCCTAAGGAAAGGTCTGTTCTCTGGCTAAATGTGTGATATTTAGTTGTATATACATCAAAATCTATGGTGTGTCCAGCATTAATTAACAGGCTGCCTGTGGTTGCCATCCGTCAGGACTGGGTTGACATGACCTTTTGATGTCATCCATTTTGCTGCCAAAATGTCACCACACAGTTATTAATACATTTCATATGAAGTGAAGTCTGTGGGGTTTTGTTTAAAAAAAAAGAGGCAAATGTAATTTTAAAAACAGGAAATTCTAGCAGTGGTTCACAAAGAAACCTGGGGCTTTCAAGAAAAGTTTAATTATATTTTTGTTGTTGTTTTACTCTCCACAGAACTAATGTTATCTTTCATTTTTCTTTATCACACCAATTTTTATCAGTATATTGACAAGAGGTCTTTTAAAAACCACTGTTACTTCTCCAAATGTTTCCATGTTATGGAAATAATAATTATTTTCCTTAGATACAAACATATGATCAAAATTTGTTCCAGTAAATATCAGAGAATTAGGCTAAAAAGCTGACAAAGATTATTTTGACTCACATTTACCCACTGCTTGCAGAATCCTAATTTTCTCCAAGTTCTGGTCAGAAATTTTTCCTCAAATGATGTGAAATAGGCCAATGCCTCTACTTTTTGTTTATTATATTTCCAAAAATAATGTGCTGTAAATAAATTTAGGGATAGTATAATTGACAAAACATGAAGATATTTTAGAATTGGTTGAGAATCCATTACTCTGGGTACTATTTTTGGCTTTGTCTCTTGTGTTTTTTTAAAATTTCTAACTTGAGTTGATTTGTCAAGACTGATTTAAATCAGTAAATACATATAGATCTATATCTATATATTTCTGGCAGATCTCTCTATGTATGTAAGTGGATTTTTTTTTCCAGAATCTGGGCTCATTTGTTTCCCAATGAGCAATATTAGTAGCTACCAACTATCAAGTGCATATTATGTCATATAAAAAGCGATGGGTTGCAGAGATATATACAAAGTTGGCAGAAGCAACTAAGCCTAGATCTTTCTTTTTCTCTCCCATTGCATCAAATCACAGGGAAGAGATGACATTAACCAGGACTAAAATATCACAAGGTGGTAGATAAATCCTGACCCCTCCCCTTCACAGAGAGGTTGGTCTGGACCTGTCTTGTCACATGTGGAGAATGGGGGCATTGCTGTTTCCACATGGGACTGAATGTAGGTGTTCATCAACCACCTGCCAACCATCTCCCCTGCTCCCTGGGGTCTAATATTCCAAAGCCCCTTCTCAAGCAAACACAAATGAGGATTTTGCAATGTTATCATTTGTTCAAAGTGTAATTGTAGTTATATATGAACATGAGCATCAGGTTTCAGATTATTCTTTCACTGTTGAGAAACCATTTGTGGTTGATGGATGTCTAGTGATTTTTTTAGGTGTTACTTTTGGTGTATCTTTCTAAAATTTAGGTGAAATCCACATAGCATAAACTTACATTCTTAAAGTGATAAGTGACTTTAATACATTTGTAATGTTGAGCAATCACCACCACTTTCTAGTTCCAAAACATTTTAATCATCCCAGGTTACAACCTTGTGCCACTGTCTCATTCCCCCCAACCCCTGGGAACTACCCATCTGTTTTCCATCTCTCTGTACTCTAGGCCCTTCATATAAATAGAATCATACAATATATGACCTTATGTGTCTAGCTTGGTATATACTTTTGTATTGGCTTGACCTTTTTTCTTTTTTTTAAGATTTATTTATTTATGCATACAAGAATTGGGGTATAGGACACAGGTATGGGGGGTGAGAGGACTCACCAGAGACAGAGTGGGGAGCAGAACAGGCAGACTGACCAAAATACACTGCTGAGGGTAGCAGCAGGCGAGTCAGAAGAGGTCTGCTGTTTCATGTAGATTAGCTCCCTGGCTTGGGATTGAACTCATGCTGCAGTGGCTGCAGATAGCTTCATAGGTTGTATCCCAAACCTTGTACCACCCGGCAGACCCACCTTTTTTCTTTTTTAACATAGCTTTCATTGTAATTAACTTCAGGACATTAAAACTTGATTCTGTCTTCTTGGTGCATAGGGGGTTCAGTTCACAAGCCCAAGTAGAGACCATTCTTGGTCTTCGGCTCAATTGAGCAGTAGGCATAAGACCAGAATTTCTTAGACAATTCTGCCCACTGTCCCCACTATAAATACTAGACCTACTCCACTGATCAAAATTTAGACCTGGCAGAATCTTTGAGATGTTTTCTGTTGATTCAAGTATCCCACTGTGTAGGTGACAGACAGTGCTGACACGTATATGGTCCTTGGATAATGTGAAGCTGAATGTCCCATGTGTGATATAGTTCTTCACCCTCTTCTTGCCTTTTCTTGTCC